GAAGTTTGGCAACATAGTAGATGTGTTGGAATTCCAAATAACAAGGAAATCCCTCCAATATATATTCCTTTGTAAAAGATGTGATCAAAACATTATGTTATTCCCTTCTCTGCCATGATGACAACATGCCCCTTAAATGAAAATCCCACTCAAATGTGTTGGGAAATGTTGGGAATGCTTCCAAAGTTGTTGCGAAATAAAGTTGCAATGCACATTCGATCATTTTTTTATGAATATCGAAAAATCAAAAAGTTAAGTACTTTTTTATTTTATTGTTTAATGATGCATTTAAAAAAATTCTTTTTTTTTTAAGAAATTGACTTAAAAATTTTAATTTGAAAATTTACGATCTAATATGAATTAAATGAGAAAAAAAGGATTGATTAATATTTCATAGAAAACACGACAAGTTTATAAGTTTATCAACCATAAGAATTTAATTGATTAATAAATAAATGTTATATTATATTTTAAATTTTAATATACATATAACTTGATATAAAAACAAGTTAGAATCAAGACAATGATTTAAATAAATTAATAATAATTTTTGTAATAAATTAATAATACAGATAGACATGTCATGTGTTATCGACCCCTCAATTGGTTTGGATTTCTCTGCTTTGTTCTGGAATTTTGCACTCTTATAAAATATTTTCAAGAGTGCATTAATAAATCATATCATCAAAGAATTTAGAAGGGAGATGCAATCAAATTATTAAGACTTATATTTCACTATCACTAGATGATTTTGTTGATTTGTTACAGAAACACTATAGAAAGATTCGCTGTAAAGTTACTTTTTGCCCTCCATTTGATTTGGTTATCCCTAAATTTATTGATTTTTAAGGGGGTGTATGCAAAATCTTATTACAACTAATCTACTTATTATATATATAGATAAATATTTTAAAAATTTTCATTTTAGATTTCACCATGGAGTAAATTTCTTGTACATCAGAAATTATTTGTTTAACAATTTTAAAGATTTGATCTAAAATTAAGATAGTCATAATTAGTAAATTAACTATCTCTTCTCTTAAAAATTTTATTTAACAATTTTAAATCAACTCTCTTCTCTTACTTTCAATGCAAACAAATGAACCATGAACTTTTTGTTAAAATTAATAGACAAGTAAAATAAACATATTAATTAAGGAGATTAGTATGTATCAGTTGAATTCGTAAACAAATTAAGTGAAAAAAAAAAATTACGTCATTTTAATAAACCATCATGAGAAAAAATTAAAATAGTTATTATTGTTTTAAAAATTAGGACCTTTTTTTTACAATGAGCATTAATTAAAATGATATAGTTTTGAGATTTTTCTTCCTAATTTTTTTTGCTAGTAAGGCTGTTAAAAAATTTTCCTTTAATTAAGATATTATCATAAATTAAAAGGGGTTAAATGCTAGAAAATAAAACATATAATGCTATATTAAAAGTGAGTCCAATCACAGGGGTTCATGAATTTACAAATTCCGTCGGGTCAGCAGGCTAGGCCCATTATGCCATTTTTCATATTTGGTTTGGGTTACATCATTGGGCTTCGGAAGCCTTCAAAATCAGCCCATCCCTAAACGAAACCCCTCTGATTCTGGCTATGGCGGCCTACGCCTCTGTTCTGCCAGACTTCCACCAAGAACGAAAATGGTGATTGTAAACGAAGGAAACGAAAATGGGGTTGAACGGCGTAGTGAAGAAAGGAATGGGTTTGGGGGAGATGGCGTTCAAAAAAGAGGGAGGAGTCATCAACCGGTTTCCCGGCCACATGGCCGCCGCCACCCGCGCCATCCGCCAACGCCTCAAGGTCTCTGACCTCGTCATTGAAGTCCGAGATGCCTGAGTCAGTAAAATTATGAAGCTTTAAACTTTCTCTTCTTCTCCACCGTATATTCATCTCCTGTTTCCTTGCATGCAGATTCCATTGTCCTCTGCTCATGAAGAGCTACAGTCTCTACTCTCAACCAAAAGGAGTGTTATTGCTCTCAACAAGAAATATTTAGCTAACCCGAATATCCTCAATGTTGGTATTTCAATTTTCTTGTGCCTGAATATTCAATTACCAATCTTTTCTGTTACTTTGAAATTGTTTGTGTATCCGTGTATAATTGAAAATTTCTATTGCTATTTTATGGGTGTTATTGTTCTTGAACGGTGTGTCTATGATGAGCTTTTATGATTATTGTTGAACATTTTATCAATGTGAAGCTTTTTGGTTTAATTTGTTTTGTAGAAATGGGTAAGATCTTTTGAATCATGCAAGCAAGATTGTCTTCCAATAAATGCACATGGCAGAAGTTCTGTTAGAAAGGTTAGTATACCATCTTTTAAAATGTTTTTGTTATACATAAAGGAATTCACGTCAGTTAGGATGGCAAAGAAGTTTCCTATGTAATCTATTCATTTCCGGCTTTATTATACATAAACGATCCTTGTTGTTTTGGACTCATCGCTGAACTTGATCTTTAGATCAATGATAGCTTAGTTTAATCGAAGGAGACTTATCAAGTTCGTCTTTGGTAAACCTTAATTTAGCAGATGGCTGATCATTACGTGTCATGGCCTTTTGAAAACAACATGTGTAACTTATTGCTGAGTTTTGATCATGAGCATTTGTTTAAAAGTTTTAAAAGTGACAGGACATCTATGACTTCTGAAATGATGGGTGCTCGAACATCCATGACTTAATTGAAGCTCTAAATCTATTGCTATAGATAGCAAAACCATGCTGCTTCAAGTAGTGAACCAAACTATGTTATCTGTTATGATGAAAGAAAGAGAAAAAAAGGGAAACAGAATATGCACATGCCTTTCTGGCATTTTTGTCATCTGCTATGTTTGTGCCCTATTGTAATTGTAATTTATACTGAAATGCCTGCTTTTATGCTCATGATTGGACTGTGTCTCCATCCCAAAAATATCAAACATCAAGTATATGGATCATTGGTAATCATTGCATTTGTGCACAGATTCATTCATTTGTATGTAGACAAGACAAGGTTAGTTTCTAGATTGCAACCTTGTCTTTAGTTTCAGTATTTTACTAGTGTCCCTCTTATATTTGTGGGTGCATGTTAGATTTAGCCTATGTTTTTTGAACACATGCAATCTCTTTGAAAACTTGTGGGTTTGCATTTCATTTCCAAGAATTTTAAATTCTGTGCTACATTCAATGGTACTACCCCTGTAGGCCTGTTTATTGGTCAGATGCAGTCTTTTCTGGTGTAAACATTGATATTCACTCATTGTGTTTGGTTGCATGTGGTAACTCTTTTACTAGATTCTTCAATGATAACTATATATACCCTTTTTTTTCCCTTTATTGTTCAAGTACAGCTACTGGAACTTGTGGAGTTCAAACTGAAGGAAGTGATTTCCAGGAAGCCTACCTTCCTTGTTACAGTTGTTGGTGTTCCTAATGTTGGGAAATCAGCTTTAATCAACTCAATTCATCAAATTGCATTGTCCCACTTTCCTGTTAAGCTGTTGGTCTTTCTACTGTCATTGTCCTAAGATACCATTTTTTGAATACTAAGTCAGTGCGAATGTGTGTGGAGATTCGTCAACTACTTACTTGCCAGTGATTCAGTCCAAACTCATTGATCTTGAACAAATGACAGTCTGGAGTTTTTTACATGGTATAGGGGAAGATGAAGCAAGCCACTGTGGGTCCATTGCCTGGTGTTGCTCAAGATATTCCTAGATCAAGGTCAAGTGCTCATGTTTTCCTCTCTTGTAGATGTGTGTGCCATGCACTAGATCATGCACTCCTAGAAACAAACTGGGGTTGACTACTCTTTTGTTATTTGCAAATACTAGCTATTAGTCTGTGTGCTTAATTTTATGTTTTAATATTCTTGTATGTCTCTAACTTACAGATTGCCCATCAGCCAAGCATATATGTCCTTGATACACCAGGAATACTGGTGCCAAGCAATCCCAACTTAGAGAAAGGGTTAAAACTAGCTCTTGCAGGTTTGCATCCTTTTCATTGTTAATAATCTCTGCATATTGTCCATTTCTCCCTCTTCAATAAAATTAATTCTCCACATATAGTAGATCTTCTATTCTTGGCAAGTAAAATGGGAGATTAAGAGATTTGTTGAAATTGTTTGTTGGAAATTTCCTAATGGTCACATGAATATGTACTCATTTTCGAATGATTTTTTGCATGGGGTTCAAAAATATGGATTCTAAATATGCATCATAGCATATCTGAAATTTACCTTTTTTGTGGAAAAGAAACATGGTGCTTAGTATTGCGGGGATTTGAATCTCTAAACTTTACTTTAGATTCTAGGTTTTGGAGTTTCTGGGTACCAACTTGGTTAAGTTGTTGTAGGTGTTTCTGTGATTTACTAATTATTTCAGCTACTTTATTGCATATGCAGGGACGTAAAAGACTCAGTGGTTGGTGTGGAGTGTATTGTACAATACCTACTTGCTGTTTTAAACACTAGAGGCACTCCACTTCACTGTTCTAAATAACAAGATGGAAGAGATTAACCCTTCTTCTGAGGATAAACACAATTATAATTTAAAAGACCTTTGGCCAAGAAGGAAGAAGCTGCCAAATGTGTCTGATATGCTTTATGTTGAGATACTCTTTCTGCACGCAAGCACACACGTACACACACACAAATTTGAACAAACAAAATTATGGGCTGCACACACAGGCAAACAAATAAACAAAATTATGTTCTGCACTGATACACAAATGAACATGCAAAATTATTGGCTGCAGTGACACAAACAAACAATCAAACAAACTTTGTCTGCATGCTAAGTATGCTGTTGTATCTTAAGCTGTAATTCTTGGAGGTTTGAACTAGATAATCAAAGGTTAACTGGTGGCAAAATTTGATCTTTTAATTTGATCCTTCAATGCCTTGCCTAATATCCATCCTTTTCTTGTTCAATCACAGGATCTTGTAATGGCAGTCCAGTGTGCACTGTGTGTAACTCAGAATTCAATGGCAACGTGGAAGATGAGAATGATTTGGAGTACGTAATAGAAGAGCATGAATTCGAAACGTTACAGAAGGCCCTTGAGGTACCTCAGAAAGCATCTGAAGTGCGCTTAATGGTATCAAAGAAGTTTCTTACATTGTTCAGGACAGGTAAACTTGGTTCCTTTGTCCTTGATGATGTTCCTGATGCCAAAACCTGTATCATGATGTAACTAAACACCAATAAGCCCTGGTCCGACATAATCTAGCCTTTATTTTTACAGTAATGAGCTGAAAAATACTGTGCATTGCTCTTGTTCATGGGTCTATCTGGTGATATGGTTGATGAAGGATTCCAATTCCTTTTGAGAAACTCCACCTTCCTCAGTAGCCTGACGAACAGCCCTTCCTAATTCCTCTGCCCTTCTCCTCATCATTTCCCCTTCCTCTGAAGCCATTAGTGTCCTCAGAGCTTCTTTAATTACCGACGCTGTTATTAATTCTGCTCTGTGTGACCACTCCCTTACAATCAAACCGACCTTCAACACCTGTGTCACCAACGTGGCGTTCCTTGGCTGGTCGGAGTGCATGGGCCATGCTGCTATTGGTACCCCGGAGCTAATGCTCTCCAAACATGAACCCCACCCACAGTGACTCAAGAAACCTCCAGTAGATGGGTGCTTCAGGATTTCAGCCTGAGGTACCCACCCTCTCACCACCATCCCCTCTCCTTCCGTTCTCTCTTCGAACCCTTCTGGAAGCTCGGGACTCTGATCTTCTTCTGCAAAAACATCTCCTCTATCAGCATATCTGAGCACCCAGATGAATCTAATCTTACTTTCTTCTATCCCAACTGCCAGTTCCGTAATCTGTTCCTTTACAAAAGAACTCGTAGTCCCAAAGGAGATGTATATGACTGACTTTGGTGGTTGTTTGTCAAGCCAATTCAGGCATATGTTTTCCCCACTGGAGTTGCTCTGCTCCTCAATTCTTCCTCCCAAATGATGACTTAATGGTCCGATAGCCCACCGGGTTCTGAGTTCGTTCTGAGCCAGATGATCTATGTATTCTCCTTCAATCACTCTACATGTGTTGTGGAGATCACCAGATTGGAGTTTCATGAATTCCATGTGAATGGTTAGGAGATTCATCAACTCGTCAGTTAAGCAACTTTCCATGGAAGGAAGGCTTTCAGGGAAATCTTTAGGAACGGGGATTTCCCGGGTTTTTTCCCACACAAAATAGGAGAAGGAAGTGAAGGCAGAGCCGGTGTGGAACATGTAGAGCTCTACGTTTGGTAAAGAAGCAGCATCCTGAACCGCAAAGGCCATTAAAAGGTCATGGATTACAACTACCTTCTTGGCTTTAGAAGAAAGTGTGTCTATGAGGGCGGCGAAAGGTTCACGAAGGTTGAGAGAGGAGTCGAAGGATGGCTGGAGATGGGTAGGAAAATCAGTATCTCCACCGCGGATGGGGGCGGGAGAAGGAAAAGGAGGAATAGGGAGGTCATGGAATTGGATTTTGGTGAGGAGAAGAGGAGTTGAGCAGCGGAGCTTCGCTTGACGGATGTGGATGGAAGAGCCAACGTAGTGAACAGGAAGTTCGTAGGATGATGATAGGAGGCATGAGAGTTGCAGCATCTGGTTGAGATG